GCATTCCATCTTATCAGCACATCTATCTTTTCCTTTCCGCCTTATACTTATCTAGCTTCCCCTTAAATGTAGTTATGCCATTCATTTCAATTTATACAAGATTTCCACATTCTCAATCCCAGCTTCTCTTATTTTCACAGAGGCAGGGCTGAGGGCTGGACATGGTTCACAAGGCTCAGGGCCAAGCGTACGGAATATCAGGTTAGATCAGTTAGGTAACAAGAACAGAAAGTTCAGTTCCAACATAGGGACACTGGACTCAAAACTCTGATTCTCTCTCCACACATGCTGCCAGACCTGCTGAGTTTCTCCACCGCTTTCTGATTTTGTTTCAGATTGCCACCATCTGCATTTATTTGTTTTATTACATTCACATAGTTAGGTACTTGCCTTTGATTGGTGCAGGCTTAATGGGCTGAAGGGCCTTTTTCTATAGACCACTATGTCTATGACTCTATGTGCAGTTCATGGAGGTGGCTGGCCATGTAAGTGACCAGCTGGAACAGGATTTGGAGACTGGAAACGCAGGACTTGGTGTTTAGACCAGGCCTGTACTCCACGCATTTTATTTGGATAACCAGGGAATGCCTTTGGAGAGGTGGTGCAACCTTGCAGATATAGAACATAGAACATAGAACAGTACAGATATGGTCCCAGCAAACACCGTCAGGGATTGAGCAGCCGTTTGATTGGACCTCATCTAACACCTTTCATTTCAGTCCCTCTACCATCACTACACAGTGGTAAGTGTGTGCCCACAACTCATGACTCAAAACAGTTATGAACAGTGCTTCCCTCAATAAGTACCGTCAGTAATATAGAAAGTTCAATAAAATTTAAAGATCCTTAAAACTCAGCCCCAGGATGTCACTTAAGGGACCTTCCAAATCCACAACCACTTCCATCTAGAAGGGCAAGGGCAGCAGATACATGGAAACACCACCCCCTGCAAGTTTTTGTTTTCTTTATTCATTCATGGGATGATGGCATTGCTGACTAGGCAGCATTTATTGCCCATCCCTAATTGACCACATTGCTGTGGGTCTGGAGTCACATGTAGGCCCGACCAGGTAAGGATGGCAGTTTCCTTCCCTAAAGGGCATTAGTGAACCAGTTGGGTTTTTCCCCGACAATTGACAATGGGTTCACAGTCCTCATTGAATTCTTAATTCCAGATACTTTCAATGAATTCAAATTCCACCATCTGCCATAGTGGGATTCAAACCCGGGTTACCAGAACGTTATCTGGGTCTCTGGATTAACAGTCCAGCAATAATACCACTAGGCCATCGCTTCCCCATTAAAGTTCCCCTCCAAACAGCTCCCCATCTTGAATTGGAAATAGATTGCTGTTCCTTTAGTGTTGCTGGGTCAAATCCTGGAATTCCCTCCATGAGGGTATTGTGGCTTTACTCACAGCACATGGAGTGCACAGATTCAAGAGGGCAGCTCACCCCCACCTTCTCAAGGGCAACCAGGAATGGATAATAAATGTTGGCCCGCCAGCAATGCCCATGTTGCCTGAGTGAATGAAAATGTGTATATACTTTTTCTCTTATATGCTTGCATATTAGTACAATTTTTAAATATTTTCTTGGGATAAGGGTATAACTAGCTGCGCCAATGATTATTATGATGAAGGAATGTTGATATGTATCCAAATCTAGATGGTGAGTGAGTCAGAGATGAACTTGCAGGTGGTGGTGTTTCCATCTACTACCCTTGTTCTTTGAGGTGATAGTAGTTGTTGTTTAGAAGATGCTGTCAAAGGAGCTTGCTCAGTTTCTGAAGTGCACTTTGAAGATGGTACACACTACCACTGCACATAGATGATGAAGGGAGTGAATGTTGAAGATGTTGCATAGGGTATTAATCAAATGGACTGCTTTATCCTGGGTGTTCTTGAGCTTCTTGAGTGTTGTTTGAGCTGAACTTACCTGGGTAAGGGGGAAGTATTCCATCACACTCCTGACTTGTGCCTGGTAGATAGTAGACAGACACTGGGGCAACAGGAATTGAGTTACTTGCCACAGAATTCCATGCTCTGACCTGTTCTTGTAGCCACATCATTCTTCCTTCTGTGCAAGGTATGACTGCAACCAGTGGTAAACTTTGTGTGATTCCCATTGACTTCAGTTTTGTATTGATAGCACACTTGATCAAATATCACCTTGATGTCAAGACAGTCACTATTATCTCATCTAACCCTCTGGAGTTCAGCTCTTTTGACCATATTTCGGTCAAGGCTGGAATGATATCAGGAGCTGAATGACTGTCAGAACCCAAACAGAGCGTCAATAAGCAGGTTATTCATTTGCATGTGCCGCTTGATAGCACTGTTGGTGACTTTTTCCATCATTTTACTGATGATCAAAAGTAGATTGGAGCAGGAATTGGCCAGATTGAATTTATCTGCTTTTTTTTTGTGCACAAGACATACTTGGGCAGTTTTCCACATTGCTGAGCAGATGCGAGTGTTGTAATTGCATTGGAATAGCTTGGTTAGGGGTGCTGCTAATTCTGGAACTCAAGTCTTCATTGTCAGATTGTTGTCAAGACCCTAGCCTTTGCATTTTCCTGTGCTTTCAATTGTTTCTTAATATCATGTGGTGTGAAACGATTGTTCAATGTCCAACAGCATTGATGATTGGATGTGGACAGATTTCAGAGCTTAGAACTGATCTGTTGGTTTTGGGATCAGTTAGCTCTACTTTATTTCATGCAGCTTCCACTGCTTGGCATGCAAGTAGAACTGTGGTGCAACTTCACCAAGTTGCCACCTCATTTATCGGTGTGCCAGGTGCTGATTTTAACATTCCCTCCTGCACTGTTCGTTGAACCATCATTGATCCTGCAGGCTTCACGGTAATTGTGGAGTGTGGGAGATGCTGAGCCATGAGGTTGCAGATTGCAGTCAAATACAATTCTGCTGGCAGCCCACAGCACCTCCTGAATGTGCAATTTTGCGTTGTGAGGTCTATTTGAAATCTATCCTGTTTAACACAGTCATAGTGCCATCCTCAATGCAAAATAAACAGGACGTTGTCTCCACAATGGCTATACAAATGTCACTCTTACTGATACTGTCGCAATGGATGTATCCATGACTGGTAGATTTTGAGAGGATGAGATCAAGTAGATTTTCCCCCCCTCATTCATTCCTTCACCAATGCCAACTGACTGGCACCATATCTAACACCCTCAACTTTCATTCAAACTGACCACCTTGCCTTGGATGGTATTGAGCTTGTTGAACTTTGTTGGAGCTGCATTCATCCAGGAAACTTGGTGGGTTGGCGAGGTAGGTGAAGAGGGAAAAGGTGATGGGTAGAAGTAGGTACTAAAAGAAGTAGGTGTAGAGAGGGATCTTGGTAAATAACTGAACAGAATTAGGTTGCATGCATTGGCATGAATGGAGCAGGGAAAGTTTGTGGAATTGACAGGGGAGAAAGAAGATGTGAGAGGTCAGTATTAGGGAAATTTTATTTCTTACCTTCCACTGAGGTAAAATATGCCTTTGCATTTGGTTCACGATACCTTTTGATTGATGTGAAAAAATCTTTTGGAATTGTGAAAGGGTATATTTTAGAATTAAAAAATAATGTATAAATTCCTTAGGATTTGCAAAGTTCTCAGTGAAGTTAGAAATAACAATCTTTGCACATTTGAAAGTACCTGGCTATATAAATCCATTATAGGATTTATGCTGCATGGCTGACTTCCCAAATTATCATTTCCACAATGGTGGGGGTGTTAAAAGGGGGTGTCTTCTATTGCTCCACCGACCTATTGAATGGAAATTTTTATTGATGTAAGGTTTTAAAATACTTGATGCAGAAGTTTATTGATGTAAGGTATTAAACACAAGTGAAATCTTTTAGATAAATAATTGAGCACTTAAGCAAAATGTTTCCTTTCATGAGGAGTTTATCTTGGCAGTTTCAAAGTATTGGATGTTTTTGTATCAATGAGAGTTTCTTGTCGATTAAGGCATCATCGATAGACTGATAATTTAATGTCTGTCATGATGCCTACTGAGAAATGCCCATACTGAAAGATAGTTGAGTTGGCAGCAAGAGAAAAGCAAAGAGTGGTGGGAGAGGAATGAATTGGCAATGAGAGGCAAAGGGCCTATAAGGGACCCTACTGATGATTGGGGGCAGATGGGGGGACATGTGAGTAGACATAGGTCAGCTTTGGTATCTGGGCCTGGTAGGCACAAGGGTTATCAGGAGCCATGAGGGATATGTAGAAAGCACAAGAAATGTGAGGGGCCATGCCGAAACATCAGTTAGAAAGGACGGGCTGTAGAGAATGAGGGAGTTTTCCATCTCAGTCTTTATTTTAAACTTTTTACTTAGAGTGCCAGAGACCCCAGGCAAGCTTTCCTCCCAGGCCAGCTCAGGAACCAGGCAATCTGAGAGGTTAATCCCAGGTCAGCCAGCCTGACTCCAATCCAGACCACACCCTCCAAACAAAAATTCTGAATGATGGGAGGCTGTTTTTAAAATTGGTGTTCAAGGATTGGGTTTTCTCCTGACTCTTCCCCCACTCCACCCTCTCAACTTCTGGATCCAGAAATGAAAATCAGGACCCAAACATCTGTTTGAACTGACCTTGAAAATGTTCAATGATCCAACCTCCATTGATCTCTGTGGAAGGGAATCCGAAAAACTAATGAGGGAAGAAATTCCTCTTCTTCTCCATTCTAAATGGGAGACGTCTTATGTATTAACTGTGTAACCTGAATTGAAACTCCTCCATGCAGAGGAACATCCTGTTAGCATCTACCGTTTTGAGCCCTCTCTAAATCTCTCACTGTTTCGTTAAGATGACCTCTCATTCTTTTAGAAGCTAAAATGTGTATAAAACCCAACTAACTCAACTTTTCATCAAGAGAACACACATTCTTTCCATGAAACGGTTGAGGGAACCTTTGCTGAGCTGTTCCCAATGCAATGTTTTTCCTTAAGAATGGTGACCAAAATTATTCGGAGTACTCCAGGTGTGCACAGTGCCTTTTATTGTGACCAGGCAAGGAAGGATGAATTGGCTTCCATCTTTCCAAACTCTTCAGTTAGCTACAAAAAAAAAGTTGGTACTATTTTTAGTACACCTCCTTTTCTCATCTTCCTATCCATCAAAACTGTCAACTCTGTTTCCTATTAGTTACTTAATCCTCTATTCATGCTGCTAAATAAAGAGTTGCCATTGCCTTATCAAACCATAGGCTGCTGTCTCATTAGAGAAAGACAGATGACTGGAGGTGGTTTAACCTGAGGGTCACCTTGTCTCATGTAAGGGGATAAGATTAGAGCGAGAGTCCTTCATGGTCACCGAAGCTGGTGAGGAATAGAACCCACACAGTTGGCATCAGAATATATCACAATCCAGCCACCCGACTCCCTCATCCATAATAATATATCACCGCCCCCCCAAAAAGCACAAGCTCTTATGCTGTGCTTGATGTGGCACCTTATTAAATGCCTTTTTGAAATGCAAATACATGAAATCTAGTGGTTTGCCTTTATCCATCCTTTGTGCTACATCCTCAAAAACCTTTAATTAACTTAACAAGCATAATTTCCCTTTCACAAAAGCTTGGTGACTCTGTCAAACTGTTATTCATTTTCTGATTGCCTTGTTATTTCTTCCTTGATAATAGATTCAAGCATGTTTCCAAAGAGAGATTTTAGACTAATGATCCTATGGTTTCCTCATTTCTGATTCCTTGCTTTCTTGAGGTGTTATGTTTGCAGCTTTCCAACCTGCTGAGATTTTACCGGCATTGCAGAATGCTGGAAGGTCATAACTAATGCATCCAAACTATTACATCTAGGAATTTGTCAGTCTTTAGACCTATTAGTTTTCTCAGTGCTTTTTTCTCCAGCAATTGTGATTCTTTTAGGTTTCTCTGTCCCTTAGTGTCTTTGTTTCCAAGTGGATGCTTTGTGTATCATTTAATCTGAAGACAAGTACAAAATGCTTTTTCAAAGCCTCAGTGTTTTCTTTGTTTGCCATTATTAATTCCCCAGGTTCACCCTCAATGGAATCAATGCTCATTAAAGCTACTCAATTCTTTTTACATACTTATGGATGTGTTTACTATTTATTTTATATTACTTGCCAGTTTAATCTCAAACTCTACTTTCTTCCTATCATTAATTTTTAACTTATCCTTTGCTGGTTTCTGAAAAAAAATCCCAATCTTCTGCCTTACCACTAATCTTTGCAACATTGTATATCTTTTCTATCAATCTGATACCATTCTTAACTAATTTAGCTCGTCACTACTGGTGCAATATTCTTGTAGAGTACTACTTTCTGGTTGAGAGTTTTTGTTGAGAGTATGTGAAATGTTTCCAGTAGTGTCTATCTCTAGCTTTCCTTTTTGCCATTCCACCTTAGCCAACTCTATCTTTGAACCCTTATAATTGCATTTATTGAAGTTTAATACACTAGAATCGAACCCAAAACTCTCCCAGTCAAACAAAGTTTTAAATATTATGATCAGTCTTACCAAAATGATCCTTAACTACGTGGTCTTTTATTAATCTGCCTCATTCCACATTCTTCTTAAATCTCTTCCTGCACCGAGGAGCCCATGAGGGAAATGAACATATGCTTACATTTATTTGCCATGGCTAAGTTTTTTTTTCTGGAGCAGGTCACTTGTCTGTCACTGGATGTTATCGTTTGACAGCCACCATTCCACTCTCCTGTTCTTACTGTCTGTTTAATCGGTGTATTGGAAGGATTTACAGATTAATAATCAACCTGGTTGGCCATATTATGAATGCAACTTCCATGATCATTATGGAGTGGGACTCAAACCTACAGCTTCTTGATTCAGAGGCAGAGAGATTATCCCACAAGATGGCCCATAACAAATCGCCGCATCTAAAATAGCCAGTTCCCTGGTTGTTTCCAAAGCACACGGTTCTAAAAGAACTATACAGATGCACTCAGCCTGCTAGCTGACTTGTGCCAACTTGATTTGTCCAGTCTCTATGAAGATCAAAATCGCCCACGGTTATTACAGTGCCTTTCCCATCATTTCCTCATTTATATTCCATCCTTCAGCATAATTACTGACAAATGGCCAATAAATCGCTCCCAGCAATGACTTCTTTCCTTTGCCATTTCTTAACTCTGTCCAAACTAATCCGACGTTTCAATTCTCTGAAGCAAATTCCATCTTCACTACTGTACTGATCCCATCCTTGATTGACAGAGCCATCCCACCTCCTATTCTCCTATTCTACCCATCCTGACCTTTCAAAGTGTCGACTATATTCAGATCCTACCTGTAATTGTTGAAGCCATGACTCTGCAAGCACTTCCAAGGCAAAGAATCTTGTTGTGAATTTCTATTTGTGACTATTTTTATGACTATTTTATGTTCATGACCTAAAATTTAGGATTCACCATCGTTAGAAAGACCTCTATATCTAACCAGGTCAACTCCATCATCATTTTAGTCACTTTTATTAACCAATTGCTCATAAATGCTTGTGTAAAAAATTTACTTGCGTCAAACACCCCAGCCTTCTCAATCTTTCCTGTCACTCTAACCTCTTACTCTGGACTCCGCTCAATTTATTTTGATGCAAATGGAAGGTATTGAGGGCTGAATGAACAAATTTTAATGTTTTGTTTTCTGATAAAAAATTTGGAGCTTCGGTAGTAATCTAAAGTTGGCTGTTATTTATTCTGATACAGAAGGATGTCTATTAAAATCATCTTCTGAAGTAGCATCATATGAAGCAGGAATTAATGTCTTAACTGTTGAATATGACATGAAACTTGAACAGATTTAACACTGTGTGACAGGGCCTTTAACACTACAAGTACGATCTCTGCTGCAGTTCACAGATTAGTGTGCTGTAGGGTGAATGTTAGTTAAAGACCTGCTGGAATCAATATTTATCCTAAGGGTGGACCTGCTTTTAATGTCAGGTCTGTTTATTGGATAAGTTCAGTATTGAACAGGTTTCTGACTTTTCTTCCTCTGAATACTCTGAATAGCTGAAGGTAAGGAGCAATCCTGAAGCTATGTCAACTGTGAATGAAGGTGCCTGGTGTGTGACGAGTAGGGCAAGTGATTTAATATCGCTTGGCTGTTTTCCAGGACAAGTGAAAGCAAAATTGCCATACTGGGTTACAAATGGCATAAATCGTTTTTTAAAAAATACTGAGCTTGATGTCATAACTGAACCTAATCACTTCCTCTAGCAATAATTTATCAATATGGTGATGCTGCCAACAGTTTGATATTTTTATATATCTTTAAATCAACCAGTTTAAGATGTTACAACATACCTCTGGAGCAGCTGGTACTTGAACGCAGGACCTCCTGGTTCACAAGTAGAGACATTGCAACACAAGAATCCTTTGAGGGTTTGTGGTGGGGTGTCACACATGTGCATCCAATTAGCTTTTTACTGGTTTTTTTACATCCCAGTCTTTAACTTGCTTACTCACATTAGGGGCTTATCAAAGCGATAGCTGTTGGAATGGCATGCTGCTTCCTGTAGCTGGTAGTGTTTCAACAAACAGTTGCACTCAAAATTAATCTTTTGAGTAAATATTAGATCCACGGTACTTGAAAACATTCAATACGTAACATAAAGAAAAACTGAAAAAGACCAACAAAGGCGTAAATATGGCAGGTGAAATGATTTGTACAGACCAGAGTAAATAATACATTTCACAATGCACTATTGTGTATTATGTTTGTAGAACATGTGTGCCACAATACATGATAATACAAGAATGTCTCATTGACTTGTCCTTGGGTGAAGCCTGTCTCGTCTGTGCTAGTGTTGCCTCTTCAGATGTAGCAATTGACTCTAATTTTACATTCTTCTTTTTGAAAATGTTTGCCAAATTCTCTTTTAAACGATTCTTCCTGGTCACTGCCTCTTGTTCCTCAGACAGGTAACATATTCCTCCCATATTGTGTCCTCGCTAAATAATGGGAGGTCAACACTTTTAATTTGTTCTCCAGTAGTCATGACGCTTTGCATGGTGCACCATAAAGGCAGGGAGTGTGGCTGGACTTACCTTTCTCAATATCAATGGTAAAGGGATGATGGCCAACTTTTTAAAGCTGTGGGACTTTCGGAAGGCCCTAAAGTGTCCTTTGTATCAAAACTATCCTTGGGAGCAGTGACAACTTTCGAGCATTGACTTTGGACGGCGGACTGAAGATAAGATTTAGGAAAAGGCCACCGGGAGGAAACAGCTCCATTTTCCTATTCACCTATTCCAAATAGGGACATACGGCTAAAGCACTCCAGTCAGATCACAGGCAGAATCTTAATTGATGCACAGGGAGGGGTCCCATCATTTGATAGACATTAAAAGAGCTCTAATGTCCGTAACGGACAATGCAGGCCTGACCCAGTGTTGCGAAATTGGGTACAGTACTTGTGGATTGGGAGGCAAGAAGTTAGAATTTGGTGTTTGTAAAATGCTAGGGGAGGAAAACATTGTGTGGTCCCCTTGCGAGATCATATGCTTTTTCTGTGCTTAGAGATTTAAAATGGATATCTGTAAGCAGCAGCTTGAAAGTTTGCAAGCACACAAAGAGCACCCGAATTGAAACATATTTGTATTGAAAGGCCATACAGTTAGCAGGCCAAATAGCAGTTTTTACTGAGGCAACAGGCTTTTGAATTTAGCCAATTAGTTTGATCCAGGCACCTAGATACCAAAAACCTATTAAATTTAAATCTGATAGTTTTGACAGCATAGGACCAATCCTATTGTAAGAAATATTGATATGTCATGAAGGGTATAAAATGAAGGGGGTAGTTGGACAAATCCCCAGAGCTGGCTGCTAAAGCTAATGGCGCTCAGCTCTCAAGAGAGAATCACTGGCTCTCACAGCCTCCTGTCTGTCTTAGAGAAAGCACTATCTAAATACCAATGGTACTAACGGCACAACTAGTTAATATTTCTGACAGAAGAATCAAAGGAGAAGGCATAGAACATTCTGGAAGACACGTAACCTGGCTGTAATTTTGAGAGACTAAATTCTATTTTCTTTACACAAGTGGGATTTGTATTTATTGGAACAGCATACCATTAGAATCTTGCTTTATTCTTGCTGTGGGTCTGGAGTCATAATTAGGCCTGACCAGGTAAGGATGGAAGTTTCAATCTCTAAAGTGGGTTAGTGAACAAGATGGGTTCTTATGACAATGGACAATGGTCAATGAATGAGCACCTAAGGGACTCATAACCCTCGGCTGCAATCATTTCAGCTGCAATTAGGTTGAAAAGAGTTAACTTATGACCACTGGTTAACTAGTCCGGGACAAACTTTCGGCTTGAGGGCAGTGTCTCAATCTCAATCTGACTGCCCTGATTCCCATGATCTGCATCCTCAAGCCAAACTGCAATTACCTTCCCTTTGGCCATCCCCCATGCCTGGAGTCTGGGATACTCACGGAGGGGCAGCTCTTTCTGGTCCAGGGTCAGAATATTCCAGTAGAAAGCCTGCTATTGGCCGATCATCAGCTTGCTTGCCAGGAGATCTGATGGGCATGTATCCTTTAGGAGGTGTCTAACTTTTGAATGAAGACTTTTAGATGAAGACTCCTCTGCTTTCTGATGTGGATGTTTGTGAAAGATCTCTCAGGACTGTTTTGAAGAAAAACGGCGGAGACTTTCCTTTTATCCTGGCCAACTTTTAAGCTTCAATATTTAAAAATACTGTGCCTAGTAGTTATTTCATTGCTGTTTGGGAAACCTTGTTGTGTCCTACTTGGCTATCACTTTTCCGACATCAAAACAGTGATTAGGCTTCAAAAATATTTCCCTGGATATTAATTATTTATGAGCATCCTGAGGGTGTGCAAGGCATTAAATAAATCCAGACCATGTCATGTTTGTGCATCCATAGTTTAGGATAATAGTTTTAAATGATCATAGCCAAAAACTATTTTAAAATACCTATAAATTTGAGATTTTGAGATGAAATCATCAATAATAGTGTGACCTCAGTGTACATTAAGGTGTTAAATTTTTTGCTGAGTCCTTTGTTCTGTTATATCCATGCAATAGAGCTGCCATAACTAGTCAATAAAGCTGAATTCATGACAACCTTGTCTGTTAAAATCTGCTGATCTTATTCTATTTCCATTTAATAAATGCATTGACAGAACGTTTCTAAAAAATATGAAAATTTAAACTCAAATAATTCCAAATTATTACTTTGAAAATGTTTCATTTTGTCAGGCTGCATTTTCCAATGGGTGTGAAGGAGACAATTAGCCATTGGAACTACGTTTACAACATTAGTGTAAATACAGATAATAGCAGCAATTTGAAGGAAAAAAGAGTGATGTATGAATATGCAATTTTTGTTGGGACTTTTATGTAAAATCTACGAAGGAACTTTGTTGAATAGTTTTATTAATGCATTGTCCTGAAACCTGACCTGGATTTACATCTAAGTTTACATCTAACAACTGCGCAAGCTGTAAGTACTATTAGAAGAAGATGTAACAAATTCAGAGAAAATTCTTTATGTTCCATTCTAGTCTTCACACTCGTTAAAGAAAGCTTTTTGTATACTAATCCTTGTAAACTGGACAAAATCAGAAATCACGTGACACCAGGTTATAGTCCAACAGGTTTATTTGAAATCACAAGCTTTAGGAACATAGCCCCTTTGTCTGCTGAACTTCACCTGATGAAGGAGCAGCGCTCCAAAATCTTGTGTTTTCAAATAAACCTGTTGGACTATAACCTTCTGTCTTGTGACTTCTGACTTTGTCCTCCCCAGTCCAACACCGGCACCTCCACATCTTGTAAACTGGGATGGCCCAAGCATATGAGCAAACTAGGCAGTCACTTGGGGGGAGGTGCAGGTTTTAAGGGATGAAAAATTAGATATCACTTTGCCAGATAAATAAAGGGAAAATTCCATTCTAGATTTCTCATTTTGTCTAAATTGAGTCAGTGTGTGTGGGAGATTGTGGCAGGGGGGTGCACATAGGATTGGGAAGATGTGGGGGGGGCAAAGTTATATTTTGCCTTGGTGCCAAAAACCCTTGAGCTGGCCCTCCATGTAAAGAGGCTAGCTGAGCAGACATACAGTATTACCAGCTTTCCCCTTGTGAGGTAGGTGACTTCCTTTACAATCAAATTTTATTGCACTTACTGTAGTCCTACACGACCATTGGGCTGCTCTCTCAATAGAGAAAGAGATGAATGATGATGGTGATGGTTTGTACTGAGGGTCACCACATCCCAGTCAAGGGGAGAGGCTGAGAAGGAGAGCCCATCATAGAAACCTCAGCCAGTGTAGAAATTGAACCCATGCTGTTGGCATCACTCCACATCACAAGCCACCTGAGCTAACCAACACTTTTGATTGCTCTAAGCTGAACAACCAGAACTAAAAGATGGATTTGACAGCCCCTCTTCCTCCATATAGCAAAAGATAAGATCCCTCTAGGTAAAGGATAGGTTTCTATCCTAGGCCTGAATGCATGATGTACCAGAGAATGTGAGAAATGGTTAGCAGCGGGGATGACTAACTTGTGGATGATTTTGCTCATAGCAGCAACAGTCACAAATCACCTTTGTCTTTCAAATATATAAGGCATGGGGCAGGATGCAATTGTATCTGATTTGGAAAACCACATCCTTGTCTTCCATGAACTCTCTACAACTGACCCATGGTTTACACTTATGATTCCAAAGGTTGCTTTGTGACTGCCTGCTGTAAAAAAAAGAGTATGGTGGCATGTGGAGTTTATAGCATCCAGTACATGCAACACAGTGCTGACCATCTCTGAAGTGCATAATTATTTCATTAAATATTGAGCAACAAAGATGTGCTTCAGTTCATAAAAGGTTCAAGGTTAAACTGTGGAAGCAATTAGTGATGCTTAACCAAGGAAATAGATACCGTAAACCCATAACCTTGTAACAAGTGATTTTAACATTGCTGTGTGCTGAATAACTCTCACCTGGATTGTTAATATTATCAGAATGCAAATGATTGCACAATTAATTTGTGCATTAAGCCATAAATAAACCAAGGTTCATTAGAAAACATATTCATGGGATGTAGGTGGCTAGGCCAGCATTTGTTGTCTGTGCGCAGTTGTCCTTGAAAGGATAGTGGTGAGCTGCTTTCTTGAACAACTTGCAGTCTCTGAGGGGTTGGTACAACCCACAGCGCTTTCAGGGAGGGATTTCTTGGATTTTGACCCACTGACAGTAAAGGAACAGTGATATAATGACAGGTCAAGGATAGAGTCTGGCTTGAAGAAGAACTTGCAGGTGGTGGTGTTCCCCTCCATTCGCACATACATTGCAGCCTTCAAGCGGTCCTGCAAGATCAAAATTGTTCGACATGATAATCGTCATCGAGCAAATTTATGGAAGGATGCAAACTGAATTTTATCATCGCTGTGAACTTTTGCAGTGACTCAAAC